TCGATGGAGTTTACAAGCACCGTGGGCACAAGTAGTTCGCGGCGGATCCTTCATCTGTATAGATGATTGCTCGGCAACCCAAAAGTCTTCGCCGGAAAACTCTAATTGTCACGACCCGGATTTTCCACATTCGGGAGTCGTGATGGCGCCTACTAATATGAGCTAAGCAAGCCGAATATTTAATAAATTACCTTTTTACCCATTTTATACTCTTTAACAATTAAAAACAATAATGTGAAAACAGCGGAAAATTTAAAATAAGCGGAAGAGAAGCAATAGAATATCTGAACATGTATCCAAAATAACTGTTTGAGCCTCAACTATCCATAACTGGTGTCACAGTTTCACAAACGATCTAAGAATACTACATACAAAGTCTGAAAAATAAACGATACACTGTTTCTAATTTAAGGAAATGAAACGGGAATAAGGGATAGAGGGAAACGCCAGGGCCTGCGGCCTGCAAGTCTACCTTGGATCTCCGCGTGGACTGAAGGTAGTCACTCAATCTACGGTCCAAAGTCAACAGCACTGGGATCTGCACAAAAGAGTGCAGAGTGTAGTATCAGCACAACCGACCCCATGTGCTGGTAAGTGCCTAGCCTAACCCCGGCGAAGTAGTGACGAGGCTAGGACCAGACTACCAAATAACCTGTACGGTTAAACCATATACAGCGGAAATAGAAATAGATAATTACAACTAAAGTTGGGCGGGGGAAACATGCTACGGGGAGTAACAGATAACAACAGAACGACTTTAGAGAAACATAAGAAATGCTCTAAATCAATTACCAACAAAATAAGGAAATAGAAGAACAGGCACACAAGTAATACCGTTGCAGGCGTGCAACCCGCTCCCATTTCTTACATTATCTTTGCAGGCGTGCAACCCGCTCCCATTTCATATATCACCGTTGCAGGCGTGCAACCCGCTCCCATTTCACATATTACCGTTGCAGGCGTGCAACCCGCTCCCATTTCATATATTACCGTTGTAGGCGTGCAACCCGTTCCCATTTCTTTTATCAACACCAATCAAAAGAATCCCGGCAAGGGAACAATAATATTAAAACAAGCATCCCGGCAAGGGAACAATAATGATAATAACATCCCGGCACGGGAACTATAATGATAATAATATCCCGGCAAGGGAACAATAATGATAATAACATCCCGGCAAGTGAACAATAATAAAATCCTCATATGAAGCGCAATAAACCACAACGGAGGCATAATAATTACAATACAAGACTCACGGGCACGCTTGACACCAACGTATAGATACTCGTCACCATGCCTATACGTCGTACTCCACAATTAACACGTAACAAATAAGACTCGACTCCTAATCCCTCAAGCTAAGGTTAGACCAAACACTTACCTCGATGTCACGAACACAATTCACGTCTCAACTATCGCTTTACCCCTTGATTTTACCACCAATTCGCTCGTATCTAGTCACAAGTTACTTAATTACATCAATAAACGCTAAATGAATCAATTCCAATGCATGAAAATGAATTTTCCAAAAGTTTACCCAAAAAGTCAAAAATCGCCCCCGGGCCCACATGGTCAAAACCCGAGGTTCAAACCAAAACCCGATTACCCATTCCCCCACGAACCCAAATATATAATTTGTTTTGAAATCGGACCTCAAATCGAGGTCCAAATCCCCAATTTTTGAAAAACCTAGGTTCTACCCAAAACACCCAATTTCCCCCCATGAAAATCATTGATTTTGAGTTGAAATCATGTTAAAAGATGTTGATGATTGAAGCAAACGAGTTAAAATTGACTTACAATCGATTTGGAAGAAGAGTTGTTCTTGGAAAATCGCCCTAGGGAGTCTATGATTTGAAGAGATGTGAAAAATGGTTGATTTTCGGCTATGTATAAAAATTTGCAGGTTGCAGTTATGGGAATTGCGAACCCTTTAGAAAATTTGGACTTTCGGATTTGCGAAACATATGTCGCATTTGCAATACACTCAGCATTCCAACCATCATCGCATTTTCGAGAGGCTGTTCGCAAATGCGAAATCGCATTTGCGAGAGGCTGTTCGCAAATGCGAAATCGCATTTGCGAGAATACAGTAACATTTGCGACGTAGGCTGCCAGGTCCACTCTTCGCATTTGCGAAGGTTTGTCGCATTTGCGAGCTCGCATTTGCGAGCCAGGCTTCACATTTGCGAAGCCTGCAGACCTGATCACACCAGCTGAGGATCTGCAATTTTCCAAGTCTAGAATCCACCCCGTGGGCTATCCAAAACTCACCCAAGCCCTCGGGGCTCCAAACCAAACATGCACACCAACCTAAAAACATCATACGGACTCGCACGTGCATTCAAATCACTAAAATAACATCATCAACTATGAATTTAGCATCAAAATCATGAAATTTTCTTAAGAACTTCAAATTTTCAATTTTTCGCAAAAACGATCCGATTCACGTCGTTTCAAGTCCGTTTCTTACCAAATTTCACAGACTTATCTTAAATCACATATAAGACCTGTACCGGACGCCGGAACCAAAATACGTGCCCGATACCATCAAGTTCCAATCACAATTGATTTCCAAATCTCATAAATAATTTCAGAAAACAATTTTCTTTAAAAATTCATTTCTTGGGCTTGGGACCTCGGAATTCGATTCTAGGCATACGCCCAAGTCCCATATTTTTCCTACGGACCCTCCGGGACCGTCAAATCACGGATCCGGGTCCGTTTACCCAAAATATTGACCGAAGTCAACTTAATTCATTTTATAGTCAAAATTTATTATTTTTCACAGATTTTCACATATTGGCTTTCCGGCTACGCGCTCGGACTGCGCACGCAAATCTAGGTGAGACAAAAAGAGGTTTTTAAGGCCTCGGAATGCAGAATTTACTTTTAAAACAAGTAAGGGTCATTACATTCTCCACCTCTAAAATAACCGTTCATCCTCGAACGGACATAAGAAGGAAGAACCTAAGTTGGGGAAAAGATGGGGATAACGGCTCCGCATATCGGACTCGGACTCCCAGGCCGATGCCTCAGCAGGCTGACTTCTCCACTAAACATGAACAGAAGGAAAACTCTTCGATCTCAACTGACGAACCTACCGGTCTAGAATAGCTACCGGCTCCTCCTCATAGGACAAGTCCTTGTCCAACTGGACAGTGCTGAAATCTAACACGTGGGATGGATCGCCGTGATACTTCTGAAGCATGGACGTGTGTGTGTG